CAAGCTTTAGAAATGCCAGCTCTACAGTGATTGCATAAGTGGACTGGATTGTTGCCTCTCAAGAGTAGTGGCAGGGAACGGCCAAATCAAAATTGTCTAATAGCACACAGGGAATCGTACCTTAACTCATGAAGTTAACACTTTTATTTCCCTGTGACTCTTTCTCTCAAGTTGTATTTGCAGGTTGCGATGCTTATGGAAGTTTTTGCAATGAGAGATCTTGTTATTTTGTATGAGAGTTTGTAGTTTCTCATACATAGGGTGTTTTACTTCAAATAATGAGATTTATTTGGTAGTGTTGAAAATGTGACACAATCTTTTCTCTGCCTCATCTTGTTTTAAAAACTGTTTGTCTGTAACACTGTTAACAGAAAGCTTTAATATTCACACATTAGAGATGCAGCAATGGAGTTACATTAAGTTTAAAGCAATCCAGTTATCCTTTAGGTTTTTATTGTCTACATAGAACTTGTGTTAGATAACTTCTGGGGATTGACGTGTATGTAGTGAGTGTGTGTATCGGTGTGCTCTGACTTGGTGGCCCCTTTTCTTTTCCAAATTCAGGAAATGGACTTTGCAGTAGAGCTGTCTCCCATCTATGATCGTGTTTTCTTCTTAAACAGTTTTACAAACTGCCTTCTTTGGCGTTTCTACTAGGTCTTTATGTCTCAATGTGTCTTAGGTGACTTTTTTTTTTTTCTTGAGGACACTTTTCAGTTTATCTGCAGATGAGTAAATAGTGTTGTGTGTATGTATATGTAGATATGCGATTAAACCAAGTACTTTATCCTGTCTTCAAGGTCATGCAAGTTTAGATTTTTGTTGAAAGCTCTGCAGTTGTGACCGAGTTCAGATAGGAAAAGCTATGGCATTTATGTATATGAATATAAGTCATATAATCCCTGCTGTAACTGGACAGACTTTACAGATTGCTTGCTGGTCCTAAACACTTTGCATTCAATTTTTTATTCTATTTGACTAGATATATTTTATTTCTGTCTTTCCTTTTAATATTAGTAAAGCAAAAGGGCATATTAAAGATAAAGGCTGAACCCTCTTAAAATTAGTCTTGATTCCTTTAGTTTTCCTGTCTGGTAGAGCCTTTGGCAGCAGTAGCTATCTCTAATTTCAGGTTCCCTTCTTGCTTCATTGGTATAGGGCTTCCCTGTGATATCCTAGAATAGCTACTTGACTGTGATGGCCTTAAGCCATTAATATCTCATTTTGGAGGAGACCCGTGGACAGTGGAGGATTTAAATAAAGCATAGCAGAAGTGACTGGCCAACTGCCAGCCAGAGGACAAGTGGCTTCCCTTAAAATGACTGACAGAGCTTGAACGGAGCCAGGACTGGATTAGACGGTGACTAAGGAGTAAACTACAGGCTTTTCCGAAGGCTTGTGTAGTCTTCTTGCTTCCCACGTCCTGGGAGGGGATGTGATAGGACCTGGTGTACATCCAAGAGGGAAGAATCTTCTAAAGAATCATCGCTACTTTTGTGAACAAATTGAATAAATGTATCCAAAATCAGGTTTCTGTAGTATAACTTTTTCTTTTTTAAAGGAGGCGGAGGGAATTATAACACTTACTCGCTGTACTTGCAAAGAACAACAATGCCAGAATGGTGTAACAGCTTTAACCTGGCTTGATCTCTACTGTAATCCAAATCCGGCAATCCCCTTTGCCTTGCTTCATTATCTCTGATGTCTACAATTTAAATACCATGTTCAAGAATTAGGTATTAATCTTTTTTTGAGTTCCTCCAATACTGAAGGTCACGGTGTGTTTTCTTTAGAGGCAGGATTAGCAAGTTTAGGCTACTTTGGGGATAACACATGTAAAACTTGAAATCTTCTCCTTCCAAAGGTAAGTTAAAACTAGCTGTGGCTTTTCTTTCCAGTGCTGCCCTTTTTAAACTACAAAATGCTTGTAGCCTTCCTTAATGTTTGCTGTTGATTAGAATTGAGGTAAGATATGGAGTTGAAATATTAACAGCAGCTGTAAGGTATAACCTGTCCCTTATATCTTTGTGTCATTTACCTTTGAGTTAAGATTATACATAAAATCTGCACACTGGTAGAAGTTCAGTGGTTTATCAGAATCCTAGTAAACTTTCCAAGCAGTGCAGCTGAAAGTTTTGGGCAAAGGATTATCATGGCTTCAAGGGACGATGACTACACTTGTCGGCAGGTGTAGGAGAGAGCACAGTTCATGCTGTAGTCCCAGGATGGAGACCATAACTAAAGATGAAGGTGGAATGGAAGAGTATGTTGGCAGGTTTATCTTCTTGGCCTTAAACAGGCAGGTGGAATTGTAACAGAGATGCTGAGGAGTTGTGGCTGGATCATGCTAGGTAGTTTTATCATCTTGAAAATAGTGGCTGCCAGAAAATGGAAAATGCCTCTACCTCATGAAAGGAAACCATAAATTGATTGGACAACAATGTGCTAACTAAATAAGATATATATTTTTTTTTAATCCCAAATGAGACTCGTCTATTTTCTCTAGATCTTTCGGATTATTTTTTAAAGAGAGAAGATTATTAGTCCTAAACCAACTAACTCTTCGGTTGTTATATTACCTGGGCCATTAAAACATGCTTCTCAGTTTTTTCAACTCTTGTAGAAGCAACATTCAGATAATACTTGTGTATGTGAATAAAAAAAGGTAGAGAACACGTTAACAATCTCTTGGTAAATTTGGAGTTGAAAAATGTGTACGCTTTTGCATTAAGCTGCAAGAATTAGGTGTTAGCAATTTTCAGTTTCTCTCGTTTATTTCTTTGTGAGACATGTTTGGTTTAGTGTCTTCAACATGAGAAGATTCAAGTATTGAGTTGTAGCTGAGTCAGAGAAGTTAAAGATCATCAGAGAAATCCCTAAATAAAATAAATTCTTGTACTAGAATAAATAGCATTCCTGTAATTTTTTTTCCTCATGCTTTATGGGTTTTTCCAATGACCAACAGTCATGGTTGGGAAAGCAAATGTGTCCCAAAACCACTTGGAATAACTTAAAAGCAAGTTCAAGTATAGGTTGTTTGTTTGTTGGTTTTTTTTTAATATATGGGGTGCTTCCTAGAACTTGGTGGATGTTGAATCCATTTCTTATCTCTGTATACCTAGGGAAATCTTAACAGCTCTTAGGAAGCACTAGATGAGTACCAAGATTTAAAGTCGGTATATAAATTTCATAGTGTATTTTTGTAGATACATCTTGTGTTCAAGGGTCCAGGAGAAAATAAGTATAATATGCACTGTGTTTCTGGTTCGTTAAAGAATCAAAGAAACAAAGGGTAGATACTCTTCCATAAGAATGGTATTTATTCATTTGCTAACATGACTTCCCAAGTTTTATTTGGTAAAGACCATATTATCTGTTTCTTTCATGACTGGCGCCGTTCTATATATTCAGTATACGATAGCAATTCTAGAGTTTTGTTAAGAATAAAAATTATCAATTTTAATGGGAAGTTTTACTGAAAGAAGAGCAGGAGAGCACAACTCTGAAGTACCAACTAAATATCCAAGTCTTTTACTCACACTTGTGGTTTGTGCTGCTTACCTCATATCATTACTGCTGCTGCTTTGTTTTTCTTCCTTGCCTTTTCTTTCCTTCTTGTTCTTCTGTAATCCCTTGCTTTTCTGGGTACCCTCTAAGAATTCCTTTCCCATTTGTAACCTGTTTAATTCCTTCTATAGCACATGTGGACAACTGAATGTTAACACCAAAGGGTAACAAAGGTGCCCAGATTTAACAATCTGAATGCCAGAGGAGGAATGAGATGGTTTCCAGCTTTCAGATCACTGTATTGGACTTTTGGCCAGACAAGATGATGACTGTGAAATATGTTGCAGGACTCTTCCACAGCTTTGGTTACAAAATTGAGTTGGGGCATAATCAGAGCAGAGGTTATGAAAATTGTGTAATTGTGAAGGTTCAATAAATTGTCGTCTTAGTTGGATTCAGCTTGGAAGTCTTGCATCTTAAACTGCTGTCGTACAATTTTAGCTTCAGGATTAGAGGGGCAAGGAATTAGGCTGCCCCTCAGAAGAGTGAATGGATTTATTGATGGCCTAGAAAAATAAGGTAAGATTGGGAGGTGTGGTACAGCATACTGCTAGAACATATTTAATTTTGGAACTTACTGAACGTGAGGCAGGTGTCAGGCATTTTAAAGCATTTCTTTAATTCCCTCTGTGGGTCATGATGTTAGAAATTAGGTTGAGAATTTGGGGTCAACAGTGAAATTGTCACTGTTCTTAAGTTGCTTGAACTTCTGCATGTCTTCTTATTTAATGCCCTCTAATTTCTTGGCTTTGCTTAATTCTTTTGCATCACAATGTCTGACTCAACATTAGTATTATCATTAGGACCTCAGAGATAGATTTATTTTCTTAGTACTTGAAAAGAAGTCTTGTACTTGAGAGCTGCTAATTCCAAGGAGCTGGTATTTGAGGGAGTTTGCACTGTGTGCCTGGAATACTTTTATGCAAAGCAACTACTAAGTACTTGCTTTGTTGTTTTAAATGTTAATTTCTAAATTTTGGCAGTCAGTTTGCACTATTATCATCTCTTAATTTAAAGAATCATAGAATCATTTAGGTTGGAAGAGACCCTTGGGATCATCGAGTCCAACCATCTACCCTACTCTACAAAGTTCTCCCCTACACCATATCCCCCAACACCACATCTAAACGACTCTTAAACACATTCAGGAATGGGGGACTCAACCACCTCCCTGGGCAGCCTGTTCCAGTGTCTGACCACTCTTCCTGTGAAAAATTCTTTCCTAATGTTCAGTCTAAACCTACCCTGTTGGAGCTTGAAGCCGTTCCCTCTCGTTCTGCCATAATTACCTGCGAGAAGAGACCAGCACCAACCTCTCTACAGTGTCCTTTCAAGTAGTTGTAGAGGGTGATGAGGTCTCCCCTCAGCCTCCTCTTCCTCAGTCCCAGCTCCTTCAACCGCTCTTCATAAAATTGATGCTCCAGGCCCTTCACCAGCTTCATTGCCCTCCTCTGCACTCGCTCCAGCACCTCCATATCTCTCTTGTATTGAGGTTGAGTAACTGTGTTGTGATATTTCAGTTTTAAGTGAATTTCTTTTAGTGGCTGCAATTAAAAGCCTAAAAGATAACTTAATTACTCTGTCAAGCAGAAATGCCAAATTCCCTAGCAATCCTATCTGTGTCGTCTCCTTTACATGTTTCTGTTTGTAGTGTAGAAATTAGATATTTCTGTTAAATATACTGGAAGATAATCAGGAACGTGTTTTTTCTTGATTCATGAGCTCCTCTCAGGCTAAGATACAACTTCTGTGTTGAGTAGTTTGTTTGAGGAGGGTGTTTTGTTTTCTTCTAACCAGATTTAACAACAAAAAAAAGCAAGTAGATTAACACTTGTTTCTGAACGGAGTAGATGAAGGTGTTTTTCTTGCTCCTTTTTTCCAGTCAAAACCTTATTCCTGTTTGTCTTGTTTTAAGCCATATTTGTTGTGGTGTCTACAGAAGCTTTGGGTATGTCTTTCATCTGTGCTCTGTTAACTTCTTTTAGCCTCTAATTGCGCCAGTAAGTCACATATGAAATGTACAAATTACAGTAGGTGAGATCTTGTATATTTTTGTGACCAGCATTTAATTGAGAAATTCAAATGTTAAAGTGGCTTAAAGCTTCCTGGGCTTTGTCTGAAATTCATTTTAACAAATATTTAAACCACTGTGGATGTGTCTATATGGCGTATTCTTTTCATGCAAAAGTTTTTGGAGCCTTGATAACAAATAGCATCCTCTTTAGTTTGCCAGCTTGGCTGGTGGTTGTTGGTGAAGAAATCAGTGCCAACCTGTGGCAGCCAAACTAACTAGTAACTTCTTTAACAGTGATAATTAAAAAAAACCCCACCAAAACAAACCTAAACTTCTCTTCACCAAGCTGGTATTTCTTCATTATTAAAACTTTATGAAAATGGCCATACGTGGAAAATAAGCTTGAAGGAGGACAAGGAGGAAGAACAAGAATGCTCTGCAACAGGTAATTTTCATTAATTGTTCATTTTGGTGGTATGGAGTAGAATGAGAAAAGATAGAGAAGCATTTTGTGTGTTTGTGAAGGAGGAAGGGTCTTTTGAGTAGACTCTTCTTAAGTACTGCCTGCCAGCCTCTGCCAGCTTCTCTCTTAGCACTCCCAGTCTTTTTTACTTGTAGTAGTGGATGATGGAAAACAGCTTTTTGTGTAACTTGAGAATTGAATTTGATTATCTTGATAATCCCTATTTCTGACCCCCAGCAGACACGATTAACAGTTTCCCTTGCACAAAACAGTTTGCTTCTGGTGATAACAAAGATATTTAGTAATTGGTGCAGGAGCAAATTGAGGAAGCAGAACATGTAGCGTGTCGACAACACCCCATGATGGGCCCACGCATCCAAAACAGATGCAGAAACACTAGTGATGTTCCGTTTCTGTGGGGAGCTTTGGCACAAAGGTGTAACTGTGGTGTCAAGGCAGTTTACACGTATAAGGCCACCTAGAACAAACATGACCTTATTACACATTTTTCTATATTGCTGCAGAAATTGTAGTAAATCTCAGATTTACTCCTGTACATGTACTAAAGAGATCTTAGGAGACTGCTCTTGCCACTCGTTGAATTAATTCTTTGTCTGCATGCGGAAACAAATCAAAAGCTTTGAAACAATCTAACTTTTAAACCGTTCCAGGATTTCATTTGTATTTGTAGTCCCTCACGCACCACCTTCTGAGGACTAAATTTGGGATAAGTCCTAAGCTAACATCGTGGGTGGCTGGCATTTAAACACTTTTTCTGCTTTTATAAAAGCAGTAAACTAATTGAAGGCTGACACTAAGTCTCTGAACTATCCACAAAAAGATGTACATCATGCAGAAAAGTAAAACAGAGCTAGAAAGTGTGTTCTGCTCATATATGCTGAAGAACTATTTTGCAGTCTGATGTCTTAATGCATACAAGCTGTTTTGTGTAAACAACTTCAGCTAAGAATTTAGATTCTGCTGCTAATTTAGCTAATTGCAAATTTCCCTTTTTTATTTTCTATCCACAGCTCTTCGTGTCTTTTGCTAAGAGGAAACTTGTCAAGATAATTGCTCTTAACTATCCTACCTTGGAGGATCCTGTGTAAAGCTGATCTTAAGAAGAGAGAACGATTTGTATTTGAAGTAACTGCCAAAGAAAGAGGAATCAAGAAACACATTTTAATGGAAAAATCTACAGGAGAAAAAAAGACTAAAGTCTTTTTACTTTAGGTTACCCTTAATCAGTAAAAAGGCACAGCTGCTGAAAGGAGAGAAAAGGAGAATAATAAGTAGAGAATAAAATTGCAAAGAACATTTTTATTCTTAAGGGGGCAAACTACATGTCATATGATCTTCTGAAATACTTTGGTGACATGTTTTGACCCCTCTCTAGTAAACTGATATTTTTGCAGTATTCAGAATTTGGTCAGCCTTCTGTTAGTAGACTCTGGACTGTTCCTTGATCTGTAATTGTTTCTGTCTATAAGTCATGATTTTGCTGCTGTTTAACCAGAAATTAGCTTGTATGGATCTAACAGCATCCAAAACAAATTTTAGGAATATTCTAAATGGATGAGGTTATTCAGAATATTGGTTGTTGTCCAGCCACTGAAGTTCTGGGTTTAGGTCTGGAGAGAGAAGAGCTGAACTCCAGCAGTACAGCAGTGATGCCCAGATGCCACCGAAGAAAGCAGGTTTTGCAGGAGGCGTAGGTGCCAAGTGACTGCGGTGTGGAGTGTTGGTGCTGCGTTTCTCCAACAAACCACGTGTCACTTGTTTCTAAATGTGCTGATATGGTGTCTATGAGAGGATATTTTCACTTCATGTGAGGTATGCTAAATATATATCTGGCAGGAAATACTAATATTATAATGAGTTTTTTAAGTTGGCAATCTTAAGAGTTGTATAAGAACCTTGTTACTCTACACATTTCATCAGAGGTGAAATGACGTGCTGTTTGGAGATTTTACAGTGACTTGTGTCTTTATAAATGAATATCAATACCTTAAAACTATAAAATAAAAATATATATAAATGCAGTGTTACTTTGCTGTATAAGGCTTATGATGACCTTTTGCAGTAGCTGTCAAATTTTCTGCTAGTGGAAAGTGATATTTTCCAGCGTTCTTTAGAGTGCTACCCAGTCCTGGTGTTAAACTTTGGTAATTCTTTGCATTAAAACTATACAGATGAAAATGTGTACCTGATTTATTATTTTTTTTCTTAAAGGTGTTCATTTGATACTTTATGAAATTTCACAGCTGTGCTTCCCTCCCAGCTGTTTTTCATAACACGTTAATGTGGATGTAGCTCTAGACATTCTGTCTTATTCCCTACCTATTCTTAAACTAAGCAAGAAAATACCCAACCTGCTTAGCACTTGAGTTTCAGGGCTTATATTCTATCTCTTACACATACTGATGGTATGTGGGGACATTTTTGTACTGCTGTCCAGAATGTGAAGAAAAATGCCTGACCTCAAGACCGTATCATTAACCTTCATCTCTGAGGATCAGGTCTTTGGTAGAGAAGAACGCCTTTGTGTTTGTCCAGGTCATGGCTGTGCAAACAGGAATCTTGGAATGAGTAGCTTGGACATTTATTTGTACCAAAAAGAGAAGAAAAAAAAAAAAGGATTAAAATCTTTGAAAAACCTAAGAGACTTTTGGAATCTCCTGTGAAGATGAACGTTCAGCATGTCAGTAGCAGGTAACTACTTTTTTAAAATGCCTTGTTTAAATATTATGTAGCTGATCTTGAATAATTGTGTAATTTTTACGTTGTCGTTTACTAGATTTTTCTCATTTTTTGTAGTTTTCCAAGTTCCCGTCCTGGATAGGTAAGTATTCTTAACATTTCTTTTTTAGCAGTAACTGTTTCACAGAAAAACTAAGCTGAAGTTTATTCAGTTTTTTTCTCTGCTCTCCAAATATTATTTTTTTTTAGGCTGCTTCCCGTAGATAGCTTGATTATGGCTTAGCATGTGCATCTAGATGCATAGTAAGACTCCTTATAAACATTACACTTACTCAGTTCATGAACTGAAAAAAGTTAATCCCCTTTTTTTAAGTTTTCCTCTCTATTTTCAGAAGCATTTTATGCTTCTTTAGGCAGATTGATTTTGGTAGCTTGTACTGGAAATTTAACTTTCTCCCAACACCTGAACAAGGATGTAAATGCGCAGAACAGTCTTCTAATGTAATTATGATGGTATATTTGTGTGTGCATCTGCTTAAGTGCGCTGGTTTTAATTCAACTTTCTCCTTTGATTTGCAGCCTTCCAGTCTGGTGTTTTTCTTGCCTCTTCATGACCTCGTATCTTGAGCAGCCTAGCTGGATCCCCTGGTTCCTGTTTCCTCTTGTTTCAAAATTCTGCTTTCCCCCATTTTAAACCCCCCACCTTTTTATATTCATGTAAATATACGAAGCTTTCACTACCTGTTTTGGTCTTCGCTGTTTTTTTCTGAGACTTTGATTGGGTTCCGTCCGATATTTTCCATGTGGTGCTGTGCTCCTGGGTTCCCTGCCATAGCGGAGTAAGTTTCCCCTGAGGTTTTCAGGATTTCTGTTCTGCCACTTTGTCTTGCTGTAAGTAGACATTGGGGAAGACGTGAAAGCCGTATCTTTTGCTGCTCTGCTTATAAAACAAGTATCTTAACTTTTTTAAAGAAGTAAGAGAGCTTGTGGATTCTGGGGGTTAAGCAAAGTGAATGTGTTCCAGAGGTAAAAAATAAAACCCACACACACACACCCCCCTCCCACCAACAACACATCTCCTCTCAGACATGTTTAGATTCATGAGATGTTTGTTCTGCCCCTTTCTGTCCATATTAGGAAGCATAATCGTGTGCTTCCAGGCTAAATGGAGTTCTTCTGGTTTTCACTGGTGCTTTTTTTGTTTGTTTACTTTTTTTTTTATTCTGTCAAGTAATCTCTGTATTTCTGTTGAATTTGTATAATTCTGATTAGTCTTTCTGTGCAAGTACTCAGCTATGGAATTCCTCACGCTCCACACCATAAGAGAAACACTGCTGAATAGAACGTGTCTTAGATTCATCTTAAATATGTTTCGTTTGGTATAAAACACTCCCTTAAAAAGAATTTTTTGAAAATGCTTGGTTATGAATCTCTTCAGTTACCTGGTCACTCCTTTGCTGGCTCGTTGTGAAAAAATATTAAGCATGTGTGTATTGGGATCTTCTCTGGCTCAAAATGAAGCATTGGGGAAAAAAATACCAACTTATAATTTTAGTGTCTTTTGGCGTTCACGTTGCACTAGTTGTGGATTTCAGTCTGTGCAGGTTCAAAGTGACTGTGTGCTCAAAGTTAATTTTTCTTGCTATGGCTGTTGCAGTGCAGCCAGGATTTAAAATCTTAGTTTAACTTTCCATTCAGCTACAAAACAAGAACATACTAACATAGTGCTTTACAAAAGTATTTAAATGTAAAGCTGTTACATCGGAATTTGGTGTCTCGTCAACCACTTTTTTTGCATCCCTCTTCCTGTGTGAGACCTTTTTTGGGGGTGAGTGGGCAGGTGGCTCTGGGGAGAAAACGCGCTCTGATTTTCTTAGGCTAATTGTATAAGGTTTGTCGTGGTAATTCATAAGGGCATGTCTGTTTCTGTGTGTAAAATAAAATGGTAAGAAGATAATGTGAAGTCTTGAAAATTGAATACTGTTTTGACTTGAAAAGTAGCATTTGCACCATTTGTAAGTAGTGAGGTTGGGTTTTGGAGTTTAGAATGTGGGACTGAAGTTCTTATTGTGTGGACTGCTGGTATGTTCGTGGGAATTCTCATCAGGGGAAACCTATCAATGTTGTTTTTATTTATTTGTATGTTGTGGTGACATAGACCTGTCAAAATAAAACATGGCCCGTGGTTGTTTGGTTTAATATATGTACATAATTTTTTCTTAATAACCCTGTAACTTGTATTGCCCGAGATCTTCACAGTGCTGAAACTTAATATAGTTCCTCTAAGCTAATTTGGGAATAATTGTAACTTTGTTCTGTTTTTGTGTTTCAGGGAAATGAGGCAAGCTACCCGTTGGAAATGTGCTCGCACTGTAAGTTTCTAAATTCCTACATGATATTGTTAGAGAGGCTAATCTGAGTTGTATGAGTTGTACAACTTCTATGTATGTGTTTATTGCTTGAAAAATTGTGCGGTGTATATAGTAACCAAAAGAGTGAAATTAAAAGGTAAAAGGGCTACCTTTGGAAAAAATATTTTTGATTTTACAATCTATCTTTAAAAAAAATCACATATAAAGATTTTTTTTTTTTCAATTTTTCTATTACAGTATGAAACAAACTTATGCTAGTTAAGATGTGTGTACAGTGAAGCCTTAGAACTGGTAGTTCAACTGGTGGGGCTTTTACAGCGGTGGCAGTGTCTCTGAGATGCGGAGCAGCGTGTGGTGCAGCCTGTGCTGTGTTAGGAGTTGAAGTACGTTGCCTGAGCTGCCTTTGCACCCTCAGAGGAAAGAGAGGTTGAGGCTGAAAAGGCATTTTTTTTTTTCCTGTGTATTCTTGCAACCAGGCATTTAGGTGAGAAGCCACTTGGTGTTACTCGCTTTTGGCCACGCGAGCATAAAATTCATTGCTCCATCTCACGGGGTTAGTCTAACCTGTGAAAATACCAAAGTATTTCTTGCCTGAAGCTGACCAAAGAAGAGATTGTCTTGTGAAGCATCCCTGTGGTGTTACACTAAAAGTACTTATTTTTAACTATTTTTTCACTTGAATATTTTTCTTCACTGCTAAGTCATGCGTAGACCTGGGTATGTACATATGGACTGCTTGATAAAATTCTTCATCTTCAGTGAATCAGACCTTGTTTTAAACAGGATAATAAATTCAAGACAGGGACTGTCTTCTAGATTGCTTTCACAGTGCTGGTCGTAGCTGAATTCCAGCTCGCCTAAGTCAAAGCAGTAACATACAATAAATAATCATGGCAGAATCTTTTTCTAAATGTTTTCCATTTTCCAGAAAAATGAAGCCTTAGCTAGTAATTTGCAAGTCCTCTATGTCTAATGCACATGTCCAAATGAGTTATAATGTGAGTCATCAGTTTGTAAACACTTGAGAATCTTACCCACGGCACTGCTATGCTTTTATGCTTTCAGTGTATATTTTGTTAAATATGGATATGTGGGTGGAAGTTTTGTATTTGCTGAACACTTCAGTAGTCTTTTCCTGAATCATGCATATCAATCTTAGGCTATGCTCCATTGGTCAGGTTTTCCTTAGGGATAAACTGACTTCTGAAGATTGCTTCATTTTTTTTAAGTAGATATGTCTCTGCCAGAGTGTATTGCTGTCCTTAACTGGATTCTAGGACAGGTGATATTCATCGGTAGCAACTGCCAACATAAAGGTGTATTACTGAGCTTGTTTGCCCCCTTTTATTGCAGAGAAAGAGAAGATTTCTGCATTATATTCTGTGGTTAAACTCTATGTTGAGGATATCATCCTGTACGTCTGAGGTTTTGCATGATTAAAGCTTTGAAGCTTTGATGGTCCTTCTCCCAGTAGAGAGAGAGTCAGCTGCTTCTTTGGGGGCAACGTAACTACACACTATATTACATGCAGTAATTACAGACATCCCTTTGCTTGATTGTGCCTAATCACTGGAATGATTCCATTGTGTTTAAAGATTCTGGATGCTTGAATATCCTGAAAGTGGGGTTTTTTGGGGGCACAGATGCGTACAGTAGCACATCTGTGAATAAGTCCACTAAGACGATACACATCTTGTTCTTCAACTGTTAAATATTTGTGCAGCTTCCAAGCCGTTACCACTGACAGGACGAAAGCTTTGCAGGGCAACACCAGCCAGTGTTCTTGAAAACCATTTGGTAAGGATTTTGAATGGTTAGACTTCTGGGAGAGTGTCAGAGTGCCAGCCCGGTGGCATTGGGTTGTTACCTCTGCCTGGCACTGCAGTCGCTATTTTGGTGCGTCGTTTTATAAGAATAATTTTGTTTTGAAGTTAGCAGTTACAGGAAGCAAGTTCAAGATACTGTGCGGAGGACGCACACCATTAAATAGTCAAGAATGTTCTGAATACCCTTCATTTTATAACATCGGTTCTTTTCAGTGAGTGAATTAGTGTTGTTAGAAAACCATATTCTTCTAAGGAATCCTTCTCAGCTGTGCTGTGTCTGAGAAATTACTGAAAATCTAGTGCTGTTTTACACGGTGAAGATTTGATGCCAGCCAAGCTATGGCAAATCATCCATAAGAAAATTTTATCATGGCAACAAGCTGTGAAGAAAACGATCTTATAGTATAGTAAACCATATTTGATAATATAGTAGAAAATAGTTTATAGCATCTTATAATATAAGCAGTAGTTTGTAGTATGTTTTGGTTTTAGGAGAAAGGAGACGAGTACCTCTTTTCTAAGTTGGGCCATTGTAATTGACACATCTGAAGTCATGCAAAGGATTAGGCCAGCTGCGCGTAAGCGTATACAAGACAAGTGGCTGAATGTGTTCTCAAGGGCGTCATCTTTTTGAAATTGGATCTCCAAGACTGAAATGGCTGTCTTGGTTGCTACTCTGAAACATTATATTCCTGAATCAGACCAGACTGTAGATAGAGGTGAGAGCTTTTGCTGAAGGTCTGTTTTATTTTGAGATCTCTGCAATCCATTCTTATGGGAGGAAAAAAATTTTTTTTTTTTAACCTGGGAGCACTTTAAAATAAATTTCAGAACATGTTTTATTTGCAAAAATCTGTTTTTCTGATACCTTAGCAATATTCTTGTTTATAATGGTCTCATATTTGAGAAATACATGGAAACTAGGTTCTCTGTGACCACACTCTGGTCTGGTTTTTGTTAGTTATAACTTTGAGCCAGTATTTTAACAGTATCCAAAAAGCCAACCTTTTAGATACAGGTTTAAACATTTAGGTAAACACTTTGATTTCACCTCTTTGCTGAGAGACGTACAGCTTTTCTAAGGTTTGTGTGCTTTCACTGAATTTCACTGAATTTTTAGAGTTGGAAGGGACCATAGAGACCATCTTGTCCAACTCTCCTGCTGAAGCAGGATTGCTTGAAGCTTTGGAGGTGCCTGCGTTGTGCACTCTGCAGCAATGGATACACAGCACTTCTGAATACATAAGCAATTAGCCTCCTAGCACATCACTGAATGTAGTGGATGTCCAAGAGATCTATGTATTTTTAAGGCATTCTTTAGTTTTGACTGCTGTATTAATAGGAAGCTAGCCATGTACCTTTATGTTGACTAGAAAAAATACCATTAAAAATGCTTCTGAAATTATTTTTTTTTAACATTGAGCACACTTCAATCCAGAGATCTGCTTTTAATGAAGCTTTTTTGAGTTGCCATTATAATTCTTTTTGCAATAGTATCTGAGCATCAGTTATGGGAGCAACAGCTTGAAAGAAACAAGTGTTTTAAAACACCATGGATCTGCTGGTCTGTGTTGGGGGAAAGGAGTGGGGTATTCAGTAATGCATGTCAACATATTACAGAGTCCAGCTGAAAGGTAAAGCTCCTTTTCTAAAATGGAAGTTACAAAGCTGTTGGAAGCATGGTCTCCTTGCATTTTGACCTAATTCATCACATTTTTAGATGTATGCAAATGAATTCAAGATATGAAGCAGGTATTGTTGGCTCTAGAATTTTAATAATTGAATGAGAGAGGAATCTTTTGAAAATGCTGATAGCTCTTCAACCAAAAATCCTTAATACTGATACTGCTTTAAAAAAAAACACCCTACCTTGTGTTAGTTAAAAGGTGAATGAAATTCAAAATGGATTATTAAATAAACATAAATAACTCTGCACGCTTTAGAAGAGTGAAAAAGTTGATGTTTCTGCAGGGCTGCCAGCAAAGCCTTTTAAAGAAAACCATTTAACAGGTATTATTTCTAGCCAGTTAGTAAGTTTGTGAGCTCCGGCGTCGGTGCCAAGCTGACGGGATACTTTCCGATTCTGCTGAAAAGCATAGGAAGCACAGAGCCTCCCGTCAGCTGGGGAGCAGAGCACAAAAAAGGCTAAGTTGAGGTTAGAGGAACGCTCCCCGCGGCGATGAGTCACAGGCAAACTCTGCCTCAAAGGATGTAAACAAAGCTCGAGCCTCCTTATTTCGCTCAGTGATGTTATCACCCTGTTTACACCATTGCGGACTTGGACCTCCTTGGATTTCCTGGTGTTTTCATCTCCATCCTGGTCTCCTGAGCTTCTCTTGTGAAGTTCTGTCTGCTGCTGCCACCATCAGTCCTTCAGAAACCTCCACCGTACCTGAACTATCCTGGCCCTTGCGGTTCCGCTAGAGCTTCAGGATGTTTGTGTGGGCACAAGGTTGCCTGTAAGGAGCCTTTAGAGAGGAAGGAAAAGAAGTATTTTGTTCAAGCTCTGAAAACTTAATTCAGCGCTCTGTTCTTCAGCGACAGCTATGTGAAATTTTAAGAAAGTCAGTCTGTTGTTAAGTACTTAAAAAAAAAAAAAAAAAAGAGCAGCCTTCTAAAAGGGACACATCCAGCATAGATGAGGACTGTTGTATTTGCACATTTGTGGAGGAAATAGGAATAAAAAAATGAATAGGATATTTTTGAAATTTGCTGTTATACATAAATGTTTGCTGTTTTCCTTTAAAGATTCAAAGTAAATAAAGAAAACCACCACAACCCAAATACAGAAAACCTACTGTTTTTTACTGAAGTTCAGCCCAGGTGGAGAGAATCAGCAGAAATGACGACTGAATTAAAGGAAGAAAGAATAGACAAAAACTGTGCAAACTTAAAATAAGGCTTACGCTGTAATGCATTCATCTCTTACTTTGTATTCTTATTTTACTTTTAAAGCTATTTTATGAAGACAAAGATGCTGCAGAAAGATGACTTAAAAAGTATATAAGCTTTTTAAATTTCATCTTGTAGAAAGGATTTTAAAGGTAGGCGAGGTGCTTGCAATAGATTTAGGGAAGAAGTAATGAAATGGTTCCGAGATAAATTCTCATAGAGTTTTAACCACATCTGTTCATTACAAACAGAGACTTTTATGCTCATGAACTATTGAAGGAATTTTTCCTATTCCTGCAATTACTTCGATTTTTCATTCTTTTCTCCTCCGAGTGCTCTGATCCACGGTGTGCCCATTGCCAGAAACAAAACACTGGTCGAAATTGATATTTGGTCAGCTTTTGGCAGAGATACTGATTTCTTTAGTACTGTTCTTTGACTTGTTTTTTTTTTTTTTTTTTTTCCCCCCTGGATGATCCACGGTGTGCCCATTGCCAGAAACAAAACACTGGTCGAAATTGATATTTGGTCAGCTTTTGGCAGAGATACTGATTTCTTTAGTACTGTTCTTTGACTTTTTTTTTTTTTTTTTTTTTTTCCCCCATGAGTAGAAGCTCTCTCAGGTCTCTAATGCAGGCAAACTCTTCACTTGAATGTTTCAAGGTTCAGAATGAGAAATTTGTAATGCCCGTTTCTAGTAGAAGCTGCTGGTCACCTGGACTCCATTGCAAGTGAACTGGAATTGGCCTTATGAGCTATCAAATTGGACACGTGTATGTGTGGAGGAAGAGTAATTAACGCTTTTTAAGAGTGAAGGCTCCTTAATTTCATAATACGGGTGGTTGTTGCTTTCCTACAGTTCAGGAAAACATAAAAAAACATTCTTGAGAAATAATCTTACGTGCATCTCTAACCTTTTCACCTTCCTGTCATCTGATTCTTGTCTTTATCATCCCTAATCTTGACCTCTTTGACTATGATCTTCAAAAGAAAAAGATAAATTGGGCGCTTTATCTTCTCTTAAACATTGCTAGTTTGTAAATTAGTATCTGGCTGAAAAAGTATCTGACTATTTGCAAATGCAAGGCTGGCGAGCTGAACAGTAGGTGATGGCAGAGCATGTATTTTCACTGTAGCATCGCTTGTAAACATCGTGTGTGGTGGATCAGTTTCTGAACATGCTGATAAAATGTTGAGTTTTTAATTCATGTTGGTAGTTCCCACTAGAGAGAGATTAGCTCGAGATAAAATACCTTTCTGGAAACAGTTTTTCTTAGCACATCTTGTGAGGAGGATTTTCTCTTTCTACTTCAGCAGCCGGTGTGATGGCAGAGTGGGTCTTCTCTGTCTCTTGTGCCTGCTGTAATAATTGAAAGCTGTGTAGCAGTCTTTGAGTTGTACATGTGGGAGTTACCTCTGCTCCATAGCACAACTCTGTGTCTCACTTCCAACCTTTGCTTAGATATTTGTGAGGAAACATTCTGGTCATTAGCTCCCGAACCAGGAAATGGACTGGAATAATGAAGTAAGATTTTGGGCTTCTGAGAAATGATGCTCGGTAGTGACTGCTGGTCCTCAGTCCTGGCTCAGCCTTCTCTCTCTTTCCATCTTCAGCTGTAAAAATGTCATTGCTGTGTTCTCATTCTTAGTGTTTTCTTAAGTGTGAGTTAGAAATGTTTCAAAACTTGCCGTTCATTAACTCATCAGTGTGTGTGGAAGGGAGAAGAGATCCAGCTGTGTTAGTGCTGCTTTCTTTTTTCTCTGCTGTCATTTTTGTGAAAGTACAGAACTACGAAGTATTTCAGGTTGCTTCGGAGGCTTTAATCTTTCAATTTTAGTCAGTGCTAGTCCTTCTATTAATACTGGAAGTGAGATTTCACTGATCTGGTTACAGGTTGACAGGGCATTATATATGCTATAGATAGTACTTTCAATTTGTTATTTAATTGCTTTAAAGTTCAGTTAATTTTTTAAAAGAAGTAATTCATCTTTTTTTTATTCTTGTTTTTTCCAGTAGGAGATAGTTTTAATGGTAACCCTCACAGACCTTGTTTTAAGGTTTCCCAGGATGAGTTCTAGATGCAATTGCAAACTTCTGATTTCAAAAATAGATCATTTGTGAGGGATTTGTCTTAACAAAATAATGACCAGTTACTTGAAAGATGTTGTGATTTCCGAGTACAGGAGAGGAAGTAAGAGGGTTGTGGTTGGAGCAGGATATCATTTTAAACATTGACTAATAAAAATAGACTGGTGTTATGGCTGGACAAGTCCTTGTATACATGATTGTAATATAGGTATAAATTATGTCTATTCACAGCTTCATTTTCCATTGGAAAGTGTGTTTATGTATGCAGTGTGACATGTCATGCTTAATGGTTTTCTACTTTTTCAAATGTTTATGCTGTGAGGGTTTTGGGGGGTTTTTTTAGGATATTAATTTTCTGAGTTGCAAATCTGGAGTAGAACTTGCCCTAAACAGGAGATTCCCGTGTTACCAGCTTGCTGAGGGGCTGGCTTTGCATTAAACTGCGGGTGTGATAACCTGAGGGCAGCAGGGCAGGGAGGGAGGGTAGAGCTGTGCCTACCATCTCCATCACCGACATCATTTACAGCTCTAAGATTTTGAGGAAGCAGAGACCGAGGAGTTTCTGCGGACAGAAGCCAAGAGCTGCCAAATAACCTTCAGTATATTGGTGAGAAGCAGCATTTTGTAGAGCAGAATTCATAAGCGACTATTTTGGCTAATTGCCAGCGGAGCTCTGCTTTTAATTCTCTTTTAATACTGTCTTATTTTAGTCTGGTGGTAATGTTGTCCATGGAACTTACCGTATGGTGACAGGACTCCTTCCGCGGGACCCAGAGGGGTGTTTCTGCGGAGCTGTGTTGGCGCTGACGCGTTCTTGATGCTGCGCTGCTGCGTCCTGCTGTGAAGGGCACACCTTCCAGCGTGTCCTAGGCTTCCGCAGAAACTGGTGGAAAAAACAACGTGGCTTTACTGCGGGCGAGAATCTAACGAATTGAAATGCCAAATTGCATACTGGAAACTGAGGAAACTACTTTCAGCCTCTGCAAATGCTGTTTTAGCCTTATTTGTAGAGCCCTAGAGGCAGGCTCAGATCTGTCGCTTGCTGGCACAGCAAAGGGAAGATTGTTCTGGGAGTATCAACCGTTTTTTTGCCCTCTCTCTCTTTAGCTGCAAGCAGTTACCGAGAGGGACTAACTGCAGAACATCAGAATTCACTATTCAGGCAGAAGATAATTTTGTGCTTCTGGACTTCTGGTGTGCTCTCTCCCTTTTTATTCTGTAATACTGCAGTTGTGTGTATCTCTAGATTTGTGTCTGGTTGGTTCTTAGGCAGGCAGAGCAGGAAACTGAAGTGGAAGTTTGTTACTGCTTTGGTAGAGGATCTCACCTCTGAATCGGCTGCAATTTCCAGACATAAAGCTCTGCATCTCGGCTGACCTTAACCTTACGTACCGGAAAGACTAAGTGCTGTTAGTTTTTATGCTGTGCTTTTACACAAGCCTAAGAAGGTATTAATGTGATGTAAAGTGGATCAGGGGGTATGTCTGTGCCTTGTAGCAGCTAAAAAATAATTTATTTTACTCTTGGAGAAAGCACACTAAATAGAGAGCACACTAAGAAATGCGGAGGAGACAGGTCACATCAGGAAATAAATCAGTCTGGGGAATTTGAAAGCTCCAAGTTGTGCAAGATCTGTTTGCTGTGGTTTGCTGTGTGCTGGCCACTTTCTAGGACTTCCCAAGAACCTCGGTTCCTCCTTCATACCCAAACATGGTGAGCCATTTGTGAACTAACTTTGGTCTCGTAAATCATGCTGCTGATAGGGAGTTCGCAGATTGTTACGGGGAAAATGTTTCAAGCTTTTCAGCACTAACAGCGTACAAGATTTCTTTTTGGTCATTTCTATGGATTCACAGATTTAGTCTATTCCTGGCAAAATCCAAGGTGTGAAGTAGGGGATTAGGTATACGCTTTAATTGAGAATGTCTATAAATTTGAAGAGGACAGATGAAGCGGTCCTGCTGCAGATCCTGAGTCTGCTTTAATTTCTGGGATAAAAAATAAAATAGATGTATGCAGGTCATGGCTATTTTCTGTCTGAGATGGAGGGGAAAAAAATATCTTAGGTCTGTCTGGGTGATGTTGTGAGTAGGTCAGTGATAACTGGTCAACAGCAGGACTGCGTTAACCTGCTTAACCCGGCCTGTATCACAGGAGATCTCTTACGTTAGCTGGGCTGAAGAAGCACTAGTTTGGCTAATACATTTACTAATATAATTGTCTTTCTAACTGATTTAGGTTAGTCTTGTGGCAACGTAATGCTGGCTCCTTCAAAGGATACGCGGTCTCTTCTTTAATTTCTTCATAGCTGGTATTTATAAGAGCTGTCTGACTAAGAACTAGCTAAGCACCCTCAATCCTCAAAAATGTTGTGTCAGCATGTGGTATTGAGTGAGTCACAAGGCTAACTGTATTATGGCTGGTGCGGGGAGGAAAAAAGGTAAGGTTTATTTAAAATAAAATGAAAAGGCTTGTGTTTGTCTTCAGAATTTGACATTATCTTTATAATCTTCCATGAGAGTGTTTAATAGTTGTAATAAAGTAGCAGAAATCCTGGTAGGAAAGCAATGGAGAAATGTGCACTGTATTTAACCGGCAAAGGGTTTACTGAAGCATCTCTGAGAATAGATGTGTGTGTTTTTTTCCTTTCAGTTGATGCTGATGAGATAAAACGACTAGGAAAGAGATTTAAGAAGCTCGATTTGGACAACTCTGGTTCTTTGAGCGTGGAAGAGTTCATGTCTTTACCTGAATTGCAACAGAACCCATTAGTGCAGCGAGTAATAGATATATTTGACACAGATGGAAATGGAGAAGTTGACTTCAAAGGTAAGAGAGACACAGTGTCTGATGACAGGTGGTGGTATTTTATCACAATCTAATTTTGCAAGAAAGGAAGGGTGAAGAGAACTTGTTAATCAAAATATGGTGGTAATTCCTTGTGAAACTGAATACCAGTAAAACTAGTTTCTCTGGTGCATTAGGGCACTCCTGAATGAAATGCTTAAAAGAGCAGATTGCTTAGTAATAGTTTTCCAGCTCCTACTGATGTGGGACTACTCATGAAGTATCTCCTGAAGTGCACCTAATTCATCCTCTCAATTGGGGGGCTGGCTGAAGTATATTCTTAGGCTGAAGAGACTGAAAAAAGTGGGGCAGGTTGTGGAAGTGATGTGGACATCTGTCTGTGCATCAGTTGTATTTACCCAAATGTTAAGCGATCTGTATTTCCGAGTGTTTTGAACAGAGTTTTCTAAAATTGTGAAAGTGGTCCAGATTTTTCCGTTGATACTTCCTTGACAGGATTCTTTTTATGATCTGAGGTAGACGCTTCAAGCAAAAAGTGAAAGTTTGATTTTGTACATTCCTCCAAAATTTTAATTTTAAGTAGTTCTGATTAAAAGGGCCAGCAGGTTACAAATCTTAATTAGTTGATGTCAAAACAGTCTCTGACTCTTAAAAGCAACAGTGTGTAACTTCTGTTCAAGATAATACTTGGTAGCTCTGGTTGCTCATGACTAGAAAAGGTTAATCAGTTTTTCTTGAGGTTATTTTTTTTTTTTAATTGGAGTAAATTCTTAAATCTTCATTTATATTGTCAGGCTGACATATGAAAAAAAAGTTGACATAGAAAAGCTGCAGGTGGACCTTCACAAAACCCCATCAGTTTCTATAGGGAGAGCTACAGTGGAATGTTGAGTTTTTGAGACTTGTTCTTTGTATCAGTTTCCAAAGCAGTAATTGTTGTATGTAATCATGCAAAATCCTCTTGTTAAAACATAGGCAGTGATATTGTATGTGACATTGAGCTGTGATTAATATAATTATCAAGAGCTGTTCTTCTTGGGTGGGAACAGGAAGTTGTCAAAATCAATTTTCCATGGTAAAATGATGCTGCTGCTGTAAGCGGCGATGAATTCTGTTGTTGTCTGGCCAAATTTGATTTACTTAATTTCTTTATATCTGTCTCAGCTCAAAGGAAAGATTTAAAACTGAAAGAGGGTAGATTTAGATTGGATATAAGATTTCATTTATGGTGAGGGTGGTGAGAGCCTGGCCCAGGTTGCCCAGGGAAGCTGTAGCTGCCCCATCCCTGGAGGGGTTCAAGGCCAGGTTGGAGGGGGCTTTGAGCAACCTGGTCTGCTGGGAGGTGTCCCTGCCCAGGGCAGGGGGTGGGACTGGATGATCTTTAAGGTCCCTTCCAACCCAAAACATTCTGTGATTCTATGAAAGGGGGAACTACAAGTGTAAGGAAACTTGCATTTAGTTGAAAAATCCAAAGTTGAGACTAATCTTTCATAATCATAATAGTAAAACTCGAGTTTACCAGTCAGGCACTTTGTTGATAAATACCATAGGAATTGTTGACTTAATTTCATGAAACTTGTTGAAATTGTAGTATGCTTTTCAATTTCATGCTATACTGCTATACCTCTCTTCTTTCTATACCACAGTTTAGCTTGCAGTTTTGCACTGTTGTCATTTTTACCACCAAAGGTTCTGGGAAGTCTAGTTATGGAATCTCATCCAGGCACATCACATCCCAAGGGGTTTTTGGGAACTGAAGTTTGCTCCTGGGATGATTACTTCATTGTTAAACAGTGTAAATTTTCTTTTTACCCTGTTTCTTGCATAAAAATACTTTGTTAGGGTGTTTTTTTTCTAGAGCAGTTTCCAGTTTCATGCAATTCTTGCATTAAGTTGAGAAACTGATCTTGAGAAGGAGTTCTACGACGAAAATCCTTACTGGAGTAGATTTAGTAGAAATCTCAAAGGAATTTTATATTGGATCCTAGTGAAAGTCTAGTTCAGAATTTCTTAAGTTCTGGTGTGAACAAGTCAGTTCAGTGAGTGTAGTATTTGATTTAAAGTACTTCCCGTGAGAGAGAATTAAAGTACCAAAGTATGTGGACACTTAGGTGTCACAAGGCAGGCAATAATTTAAAGATTTTAGGGCAATTTAGATTTTTTTTTTTACAATTTCTGAAAACTTCTTGATGTTGATTTCCTTGGTTTATCAAAAAAATAAACTTTTTTGTGAATGTTTTTCTTGTATTTAGAATTTATAGAAGGAGTCTCCCAGTTCAGTGTCAAAGGAGATAAGGAACAGAAGTTGAGGTGTAAGTATTTTGATTTTCCTTAACAAAAAGTTTTTCATCCTCAAAAAAATACTTTTGTTAATATTGAGAAACCGGCAAATCCAGATTCTTCTAAAAAAGTGGGAAAGTGTGAAGGTAGATTGTATGCTTTTTCCACACATTGTTGTGTGTGTGAAGAATTTGCCAGCACTCTTTTCTGTGGGTAATGTTTGAGGAGGTTGCCTTCTGAATATCTTTGGGTAATTACCATTTAAAAAAAAAAAAAAAATTCTTCGTTTACAAAATTGGTAGCTACGTGCTTGGCTTTGTGGGAGCATATGAAGAACATGATTTTTATTTTTTTTGCTGCTGTGTAGGCCAGCATTAAAATTCTTGTTTGAGAACTGCATCTCAGAAGAAGAAATCTTACTTAAAATGCAGTGGGTTTATGTTTGTGCAGGATTGTGTCATCATTTAATGCAAAGCACATGAATCTATATTGCTCTTTGTTACTGAAAGTTTTATATATAAATATATTTTACTTCTGCAGTTGCTTTCCGCATTTATGATATGGACAAAGATGGTTATATCTCAAATGGAGAGCTCTTCCAGGTGCTGAAGATGATGGTTGGGAACAATCTCAAAGACACTCAGTTACAGCAAATTGTAGATAAAACCATAATTAATGCAGATAAGGATGGTGATGGAAGAATATCCTTTGAAGAATTCTGTGCTGTAAGTAACCTCAAAAAAACACTGATAATTTGGAGTTTAAAAAACGAAAATAAACAGGAGGAAAAATGGTAAAGAGTATAAAGGGTGTTAAAAGCAGAGTATTTATTCTCATCTGGCAGCAGTCACCCTTTGACACAGGTTTACTGTGGATTGTGGCTTCCACCTGAGCAAGGTCTGGTGTCCTGTGAGGGAACCCCGAATCGGTTCCTTTGGGGTGCAGACTCTCCCACTGAACCCAGCGGGCTGGGAGAAGAGGGTGTTTCATTCAGAGCACAGCAACTTGTATAAAGTGATGTCTGTGTCATTTTATGGCATGATAAACACAAGACTAGTCCTAATTACTTCTGCATGTAGCTGACATGAAGACATAGATTGGATTCCCTTCTCTGTGCTGGTAGAAAATAGCAGCTTTAAAGATGAGTTGCGAGTGACTGGCTTGTCGTAGGAGGCTGGTTTTCCTTGTTGTCAACAGTTAAATCTGATTAAAAAAGAAACAGCACTTTCAGTTGTTTTAAAATGTCTTGAGCTGCTTAATAGGATACACTGAGTAAAAACCTCCAAGCACGGTGGGCAGGCGTGTAGAGGCTGCTGGAGGGGTGGGGGGTGGGAGGAGAAGGCTTCAAACCATCTGAAAGCTGTAAAACCAGGGTACGTCACGGCAGAAGCGTCACTGCCAGGGGTGGTGGGTGGAGGGGAGAGGCATGTCCCACAGGGGTGAACTTTAGGTTAATCTCCCAATCTCTAAACTGGGTGTCTGCTCCAAATCACCCTTGAGAAAGGTTTATCTTCGAGGGTTTGGCGAGAGCCCGGGGAGATTATCGCCAGCTGCAGAACAGGGGGATTTTACAGAGGCCACTGGAGCGGGATTTGTGTCAGTCAGAGGGAGAGTAACCCCTCAAGTCCAGCTCTTGAAAACGGGCACACAGTTGAAAGGCACTTTTTAAAACCTTTGGGTTTTACTGAGCAGAATGCTTCAATGTAGCACTTGACACTTGAAATGGTTGATTTCCACCCATGTTGTGTATCTGTTTAATTAGTTGAGAGCAAGTTTTAAATTCTTTCTCTCGGAAAACAAAAAAGTAAATGACACGTTGAAACTGGAACATTTGAATATCGAAATAATAAGTGTTTACACATTAATTTGAAATGGTTTCTTAGTGACCATACATGGGTGTGTTAGTGACCATACAGTCCGTTTGAGTCTGTAGGCACTTGAGCGTTGGCTTTGATTCTTACTCTTCGAATTTACAACTTCAGTTCAAACTTCACTTGTTCATACTCGTCATCAATGCAAATGATTAGGGCAAAAAGGTTCTATTGTCTGCATTTTTTTGGTTGAGTTTAGTTATTTTTATGGCATCATGTGAAAACCTGTGGTCATCTGCAGAGGACTCGGAATGAGTTGGAGCCTGCAAACACCTACATCGGTGACATACCTGGTTATGTCTCACGCTGGGCTGTTGTCTTCCAGCCATCCAGTATGATGTTGCCCTTTCCTTTGTCCCTGGGCTTCTGCCCACGCTTCCTGTCTTGTTCTACTGTTTGATTTTTCTCTACTTTCCTTCCCATTTCTTCAATTGCTGACCTCCTGACAAGACACCTTTCATTCCTACGATCTCTTACCCTCTTGTTCTTGCGTTTTATTTCTTTGAATTTTGTGTGCTGCCTGTCTACCAAAGTACTTTCTCTTCCATGGCAGTTGGCCCATACCATTTGGCCTCTGAACTTTATTTCCGCGTTATAAAAAGTTCCTCTGACGTGGCTGCTTTTTTCCTTTCTCCGAGCACGAATTCTACACCTTTGAACCCAAAGAATTCTTTTCTGGGCTCGTGTGGTTTTGTCAGAAATCCTGCCGCCTTTCCAAGGCCCTTTGCTTCTCAGGTCATGATGCAGGATTTTACAAGCTGTTTTGGAAGTAAAGTCCATTTTTCATTTAATGTGCTGAAATGTAATACAAGGTCAGCATGTGAGGTGGGGGAGGAAAGCCAAAATGGTGTCACTGACGTTGTTGTTCAAGCCCTTGAGCGTGTAAATTTGTATTAATTACCCTGGTTTATACATAATTTGTTTGCGTATCACACAGTACTTGTGAAATGTCGATTAGTTTGGAGAGGCCTGAGGAGTACTGTGATTATGACCTGAATGCATCTTCTGAATAAAACGTGTTCTTTGTATCGTGCTGTTGGTTCTCGCTTATTTACTTATTCCTTTCTTTTTCTCCCAGGTTGTAGGAGGCCTAGATATCCACAAAAAGATGGTCGTAGACGTGTGACTCTGTAGGGCACCACCCAACACTTTTGCTTTCTTCTCCATCTCTGAAGATCTGCTCAAGACGTCCAGCAATGCTCTCTGTGTATTTAAATGGAAGTATTTTTCTCTGTGAAGCCACATTTTCCAACATGAGCCTCATGAAGCCAACTAAGTGTTATTGAACTTTTATTCTCTCAATAACTCAGTGTAGCACTTTAAAGTCTGAAGGACAGCAAAGATGGAAAGAGCATATCAGTGTGGTGGAGAAAGGGAAGGGGTTGGCTTTTTAATTTATTTTTCTTCATCTTTTATAACAAGGAAATATCTATCTATATATATATATGTGTGTGTGTATTTATATATAGATATATATGTAGCTTTCTATATGTAGTAGCTAGGTGGGCTTTAATTTAATATACTTGATTCAGAAACAAAACTAGAGTACAAAGTGCCAAGCAGAATATTAACAGTTCAATATATGGATATACATCCTTACTTTTATTTCACACAGTTTTATATATATAGTAGAAGAATGTAAAATTTTAACTGGGTGTTAGGTCAACTCTTTTGCTTTTCCTGTGACTGTTCAGATGTTTCTATATATTGACTGGCTGACAAAGCATTGCTTCTTATTAATTCACCTTAATGACATTTTTTTGTAACACAGGAGACTAAGTTTATTTATACCTGTTAATATATTACCAGGGACTGTGTCTCTTTGCTAAATAACTTAGTACAGTTCTACTTAATATGAGAATATAGTTTAATGCTACTGCCAAGAACTAGCCCTCGTGTGCGTATAGTGATGGCTTTGATGGCCACTAGATTCCGTCACCCCGGAATGCGGAGGGAGCAGTTACAGCTGGCCTGAAATTAAGGCAAATCTGCTCTTCTGGGTTCATTTTAGATACGGCTGCTCCAGGCGTTAGACGCATTCGTGACCTTCTCTTGCGCTTTAGCTTCATGAAATTAGGATGGACGTAACTGTGCAGGATTCCCATCTACTTATTTTATACAGTACTTAGATGATTACAATGTTCTTGCCATTTAAATTCTGTTGTTTCAACCATGATAGTTTCCCCTCTGCATTTAAATACTACTACAGGTAGCATAAATAAACTGGTAATATTTTATATATATATATGTATATAGGATTCGTACAGGGGGAAAATCTTGTTAACCTATGCCATAGAGGAGGAAAACTTCACACTATCTAAATTTATACCTCTTGCGGTTCTCCAGTCCTTTGCCTGGAGAATTTTTTTCTTTTCTAGATTTGTCCATATCATAATTTGTAACGGATGGTAACTTGATATATTTGTGTGATATAAAAGTAGCGAGCCATGTTTTACAACTTTATATCATCCCTTCCCTTTTCTGCAATGGTACTATTGGCTGGAAGAAAAACATTTGCTAGATTTTTTTAGGACAGTACATCTTTCCTGTATAGTAGTTTTTCTATTGAAAAAAAAAAAAAAACCAAAACAAACAAAAACCAAACAAAACAAACTTGTTTTATAATCAGCAGCGGAAAGTGCAGGTTGTCTGAACCTTCTTCAATCGAGCACCTGTCTGCCATAGCTGTTCCTTCAACTGAGTGCTGCACATCATGGGCTCTGTCTGTGAGAGAGAAATCCAGGTGCTTGGTGTCCTTGCATGACATGAAGTTTTGCATGTAGATCGATTTGAAATGTTCCTCTTGTTTACATAATTTGCATAATTTAAACGATAATGTTGCCAAACTTTTTGGTAAATGTTAATGTTCAAAACAAAAACAAACAAAAAAAAAAAAATCTCCACTACATGTAACTTTTCTTCCTCTGGATCAGTACGTGGCTTATAATCCCAGCCAGTGGTTGTATCTGTTCCAGTGTCAACTGCCATGTGCTCTGCTTCAAGGGGGAACTAGTCTTTTGTGAATTTTTTGTACATAAGTATTTGTTACAAACATTTTAGCAAATGCTTTTGATTTCTCTTACTTGCTTGTGCATATCTTGGCTGGCATTATAGAAATTAGTGCTACTGTTATTTCCTTAGGGGGATTGGAAGGGGGAGGGATGAGGGGATTTTGTTTGTTTTTTGTTTCTTTTTTTTTTTTTTTTTTAGTTTGTGTGGGGAAAAATGATTTATGTTGAATGTTTAGTTTTTCCTCTGCATGCGACATCATATGTTGTGGGAACTATAAGAACCTTCATACTATATGAATACAAAATAAAATATTTGAACCTTGCCTGGGGTGCTCAGTACTTACCTAAACCCTTCCTCTTCAGCCGAAAGCCGCTCTGCACCTTTATGAAAATAGAACTTCCTGTTTGTAGTTTTTGTCCCTACTTTGATTATAAAATTTATTTTAAAACTGTACAGGTTGCAGAGTCCCCCAAGTACTTCCAGGATTTATTTCAGCATCTCTAGAGCACTTATGTTTGTTTTTTCTTTTTCTTTTTTTTTTTTTTTAAGGCACGTGTGGTCGTTAGCTGTCTAAACTGGATAAAAGAATTTTACTAAATGCAGAATGGTTGTGGTAAGTGGAATGTGGTTCAAAAGACGAAACCAAACAAAAACTCCCTAACCTTTGTGTAGGTGGGGAACGAAAGGCGGCTTCTTTCTCAGGGAAAGGTCTGAGCTCTGCTGGTGAGAACAATCCTCCCTGGAGCAAGCGTGTCCTTCACAGCAGCCCTTTGCTGTTCTTTGTGGTGGGGCTGTTGGGGCCTCCTGCCTGCTGCCCTCTCCCTTCCTGCTGCCTGGGACCAGTCTCAGAAAGCACCTGCTTTAGGATATAAAGATTAGGTTACTCGTGCGTGTCCTCACCTCGCTCTCCCCTTATCTTTCCAGCTAATTGAGATAAATGACCTAAGCAGCCCCTGGAGAGAAGATGTGCTGAGGGAGTGGGTGCAGTTTTACTTTGAGCAGCTCAGAATGGACAGGCTTTCCCCCGTAAGGCTCGGGCTGCCGAGAGTCGTACATTCAGGTAACTCAGTAAGTCTCCAACCTCTTTAGCAACTGAAGGTGTGAATGAATTTGGCTGGAATAGTGATCATCCCCGACCACAAAGTGCACCACTGGAAGCTCAGACATAGACAGAAAGGCTCACTCAGTTTGCTAGTGGTTTTGATAATTTCATGTCAGTTTTTGTTTCTGTTCCCAAACCTTGTTACCCATTTTGGCTGACAGGGGTAGGAGAAAAGGGCCCCCACAGGTCAAACAGGGGCTGTGGCTGGGCTCTGCTGTCTCTCCCCACACTCTCTTGCATTCCTGTACCCTTTTCAGGGGTGTGGGGCTCTGCAGCTGTTTGTGCCCTGGTGCACGGGCCAGTATTGAGCCTGGGGGCTCTCAGTTCCTTACACAGCATTTGTGTAAGAACAGAAAGAAAATCTCTGTAGGTGCAAATTCTAGGATTAAGTTCAAATACACTTTTTTTTTTTACCTTTTTTACGTGATACATTGTGCCATCAGTAGCAGAGAGGGGTTGGGCAGCCTGCCCTTGAACTTTACTTTCCCGTTCACTCTTCCATTTTCCAGAAAGATGCTGATCCATGATGGTTGAACAGGTAACTATGCTGATTCCTTCAGGATCAACCTCAGAGGCTTTCCAAAGTCCTCAAAGCAGTATCTTTAATACTTCAACATTCATCAGTAACGAAGCACGTTTTTGTTTGAGGATGTTTAAGTAAAATCAGGTATCCATACTTCTAATATAGACACAACCAATTTAAAATAACCTTTTTAATGACTATACACAAATATTAAGTGTGTTCAAATCAGCGTGTCTGCAGCAAATTAACTGCACAAACAGTCCGTTTCCTTCTGGGCTTCCAAACTGAGCAGAAGACTTGAGTGCTTGTGGAGCTCCAAGGCCTCTGTGCCTACAGCGACCAAGACCCTCAGCCCAGTCCTTGGTGGAGCAGCTGCTCTGAGCTCAGAATCTCTCAGCTGCTCTGCTGGCCACTGCCCGAATATTGCCATAAACCTTTGATGGAGGGCTTCCTGCAGAAGAAAGCACAAATTTAGTCAGCTAACAAGATGATGGATCTCGCAGAGACATGTTTTCCCCTCGTGTCTGTTTTAAAAGTAGAGAAATAAGCCCACGGGTGAGAAGGATGGCCAAGGCGAGCCACCCTCTCCATTATCACAAGCGCAGAGTTCAGCCTCTGCTGTTGGTGTGGGTTGTCCCCTTGGGCTTTCAAAATAGCAAGAAGCATAAACTCTTCCTTCTGCACCATGGGAAGGATTTTGGAGCCAGAAACCAAGCCCTGTGCTCCCTCCTGCTTCCCCAAACCCTTCTCTTAAGGGCAACAAGACAGCTCCCAGCAAGCTGCCTGCTCCCAGCGCTGGTGTGGACACACCAGGGAAGGTGGCAAGACCCACAGAAAGCAGTTTCCCAGACTCCCAAGATGTATTCGTATGTAATGGAGAAGATTAGATAACAGGACTTACCTAAAATTAGATTGCAAATTGCTGTTCGTGCCATTTTAATGTTCTGAAAAGATCCCAAAATATGAATTTTCCTGTAAAAAGCAGTCAAAGTAGCGTTAGTTAATGGCAAACACCTCCCTGTCATTACATTTAATTAATAGAGCATCTAAGTTGGAGGTGAGAGATGACCATGGAATTTCAGATGAGCAAACAAGTTCTTTTTTTACAGTTGTAATTAAAAAAAACTAAACACTCGAAACCAGACAACTTACACCATAGAATCTGTGCTCTTCAAAATCCTTTACAAAACAGACTTTACAGTTTGCAAATGCAGCATAGCTGCTTTAGGAGGAAAAACATTGTGGGGTTCAACTTCTATTATTCATGAGAATTATTCATAATATTCCTAAGAATATTATTCCTAAGAAAGAATTCTTATGCTCTATAGCATCACTCAGTTCCAGATGTGCTGGTGACACTATCATTATTCTCAAATAGTCAAATAAACAAACAACACTCATTAAAAATAACACTTAAATAATTTGTCTTACTAATGCTCTTATCACAGTTTTTTTTAAAAAAAAATCAAGTTATTTTTCTTCCTGGAAGGGAACATGGATTAATTTAGGGATTGTGCTCTGCCTAGAAGGAAGAAAGTCATTACTTACGTGTCAGCAAGAACTATTCGTGTCCTGGTTACGTTTTCTATAGTGAATTTTGTTTTTCCACCTTTTCCTGCTATTCTGCCTATTGCTCTTGACAGATGATCTCCCTTCAGAGGTTTGACTACAAGAAGAATAACGCACTCAGTGACCCAGCAGTGGTGTGTATTTCTGTAACACTTCCCTTGTTGACGTTACTGGAAAGGACTCATTTTAAGCAACACAAAAGCAACTTCACTCCAGGTGAGGAGTCCCAGTAATAGATGAAATAATACATGTTTCTGCTGCCTACATCCCACCCCTCGCTGTCAGGATAGTGGGAGGAACAAAGCCCATTGCAGTTTAAAAACCTAGTGGATATGTTATTCCCCAAAACACTCCGTGTTTAAATCATTAATGCTGAGACAAGAAAAATCCAGTGAACCTGACAACGTGACATGCTTTTAAGGATGAAGGTCTGGGGGCTTTGTTGGGACATCTTAACAAAAACAACCCTTTCAAGCCACTTGTACCTGGACAATAATTCTGTGTATTGGCACAAAGGTTTTCCTGATCCCTGGGGACAAGTGACACAAGTGGAGCAGGGAGAAAAAAAAACCCACAAAAATGTACTTGCAAATGGTACACATGACTATGTGAACGCTGCAGCAGAAACTACTCACCATCTGTAACTTCAAACGATTCTAGAAAAAGATCGTCTAATCTGATCAGAGCAAGAGCATCCTAAAATATGAAGAGATGTGTTATCAGCATGTTACACAAGAGATGCAAGCTTGTATGTTTTCCTTACACATCTAAACAGATACCAGCAGTAGTATTTCCCCACTTACTTAACATAACAAAAAACAGTCAGCTGAAGTTACATCAGCTGGTTGGTTTTCAATAGCAATATAAGCATTTATTTCTGTGTAGAAAACCACCCATTCAGCACAGACCCACCTACAGTAATGAAGTCAGTGCAAGTCTGTGGCAACGAGCAGCCTGTAAAACACTGCAAAAAGGGGTTTGTTTCCTGAGTAAATACTGCCTCCATTTCGTAATTTAAATTATGTGCTGTTTGAAGATCAGCTCTTTATTCTGCATTAGCTTAAGAAATTAGACTTCTGCTCTAGTCACACTTTCAAACAAATCTATTTCTAGAAGACCACCTAAAGATTTATATTTCTTTCCTACTGTGATTTGCAGAGGGCCAAAGACTTCATGCAAGCAAATTCCAGCAATCTCACAATCCAGCTGTTGGGAGACTCACCTCTACTTGGAACCCAAGTATAAACGCTTTCACAAAATCAGCTGCTTTCGTTAGGGCACTGAGATCCTTTGTCTCTTGGCAAGTCTGCAAGACAAGAAGTTACATTTGCAAATTAATACCACGCAAACAGGATCAGGACTTGAAACATCTAAGAGGCGAAGGCTAATCATTAAAAAGCCACGTTTAGGCAATGCTCCTGTGTTGTGTTTTGCTGAAAGACCCAAGGGATAAACTTTGTGCCCTCTTATAACATCTGCTCTCAACCTAGAGAGAGCAGAGCAGGTGATTAGAAACCCAGACAGGTTCAGTAACACCTACAGGACAAGATTAACAAGATATCTGAAGCAGGAACAAATCAGCCTCACAAAGCTGCACACCTTGGAGTGTTTAAGTTTTATACTTTTGTTTTTCCCCCCAGCAGAGGCCACGGGATTTGCTGCCAGAGGGCATTTTTTCAGCTCACGTTCTAAAACTGGGCCAAAATGTTCCTCTGGTACCAGTGGAAAAGTTTGTGCACACAAGCGTTTACAGATCCTGACAGGGACCACTTAGAAAAGAGCAGTCTTTGGAGCTCTAAGTAAAAGGAAAGGAGGAAACAATAATTAAGGAAGGTAATTACATTAATGTCTGTAATGTTGAAGGTATTCTGAAGTGTCATTACTGCTTCCACACCACCATAAAGAAATGACAGAAACTGATTTCAATTAATTGTTTCAATTTAATTGTTTTATACTCATGATAGATATGGACAAAATTCAGTCAGTTTGACCAAAAACCTGCTTTTTGAACAGATACCATTCCCTATCAAAAAGCAGGGTTAAAATCCCAGTTTTTTCAGCTGTGTAGTTATTCACTGGAATTACAAGAGCGTTCCTAACTTTTCCCTAAGTTATTTCTAGGAATGTAAATAAGGGATAGGTTTGTCACCTTTCCTAAGAATCTGGCCCACTTGTCAGAAATGATATATTTTTTTTCCCCTGCTAGTTGCTACCATCAAACCTGTGGCAAGATTTCAAGGTCAGGAGGCAAAATGGCTGTTGGTGTCTGTCTTTTCACCCCTGCCTTATGAAATCTCACCCATCAACATGGGTAATACAGTGACTCATCTGTCAAAGGCATAGCGTGAGCTTTGGATACAGACACTTAAAGCCAGCTACTCCCAATATTCCCGAGAAGGAATAAGAATGAAGAATGGCATCTATAAGATTTGCAATTATATATGGGTATCTGTGCCCTAAGCTATTTCAGTGCAGTCTGTTAAGGAAAAAGTACAAAGTATTGAACTACAGGCCTTTATCTTCTGCCACAAAAAAAAAAAAAAAAAGGCATTAGAAGTTTCAGTGTCCCCCACTCAAGACATCATTGGCTCAAAATTGTCATGTAAGTACTTAAAGTACTTAGTGGCCTTAAATATCTGGAAACCATTGCATTCCAAAATCGTATCTGATAACAAGACTGTAATTATTCTGTAATTCTCAAGTATGTAATTTTCTCCTATAAAAATCAGAAAAAACCCAACCAAAACAACAAAACCAAACCCCACCAGTTTATGCCAGTCCCTTCTAGATCCGGAAAAGATTAACACTTTTAAATTTTACTTGACTACGTGCTTCCAAGCAGTAACTGACAGATTTTACTCTGACGCCCAGCGATCTGGTTGGGTCAGACCGAGCAGTTTCCCTTTTCCCGGGCACTCTCTGGGATACAGAAGGTCTCCCTGGGACGGGAACACCTGCCAGGAGAGGCACCATCCGGGGCCAGCCGGAGAAGGAGCTCTCTTTACCTTGATTTCGACGTTCCTCGTTTTCAAGTTGAACCTGATCTGAAGCTGCAGGTGCTCCACGATGGGCGTGAAGATTTTCATCCAGTTCTCTTTCAGCGGCGTGTACCTGTTGGCCGGCACGGCGACCTTCCGCAGCTCGCCTTTCCCAACCTAGCCGGGAGAGGGGAGAGTAAAGACGACGGTGAGACGAGGCCAGGCCCAGAATCCCGGGACAACATCTCGGCCTACCACCCCCCCCCGGGCCTACCCCGAGCGCCTCAGCGGACACCGGCGGGAAGGCCGGCCTCTTGCTGGGCCGCGGCTCCTCGGTCTCCATGGCGGAACCCTCCGCCTCCTCCCCGCCTGCCGCCCGCCGTTTCCGCCGGCTCCGCTTGGAGGAGACGCTGGTGAAGCCGCCCTCGGTGCCCGCCGCCTCAGGCTCCATAGCGGGGGAAGCCCTCACAGCCGGTGGGGCTCCCGCGTGCGCGCCGGAAGAAGGATGGCGGCCGCTATTTCCGCTTCCTGGGGTCAGCCGGTGGTGGAGGCGGTGGTGGCGGGGTCGTTGGGGGATGGCGGCGGGTCTGGACCGGCCGCAGGTGGTGTCGCACGCCCAGCAGGCGCTGAATTACACCCTTTTCGACTGCAAGTGGGTGCCCCGCAGCGCCCGGTTCCTCTGCCTGGGCAGCGCGGCGCGGGGCAGCGGCCTGCTCCAGCTCTACGAGCTGCGGGGGGGGCGGCTGGCGCTGCTGCGGGAGGTGAGGCCCGGACGGACGGACGGACGGACGGAGGGGGAGACGAGGAGAAAAAAAGCCCCGTTTGTTTGGGTTCCGCTGTTAAAACTTGCCCGTCGCGAGGCGGGGGTTGTCGTGGTGGGGGGCGGTTGGGTTTGAGGGAGGGGGGGAGGTTTCAGGCCCAAACCTCCGCTTTTCTGTGCATAATTCTCCACAAAATGCGGTCGGCGTTTTGAGTGTTATCATTCACCCGATATCCAACAGGCTTCCTTGGTGTAGCCCCCTCCGCGGGCTCTCCAGAGGCGTCTCCTTCCTTTCCACCCCCCCTCCCCGTGCTGACACGGGACGTATCTTCTTTCCAAAAGATTGAAAAGGCCAAACCTCTAAAATGTGGGACTTTCGGGGCGACGTCGCTGCAGCAGAGGTACTTTGCGACGGGGGATTTCGGTGGCAACCTCAACATCTGGTGAGCCCCCTTCTCTCCCTGTGATGCTCTGAGGGTCTGTCCGAAGGGATGTTTCTGTGCGTGGCCCCTTGTGCCACCCATGGCGGGGACCCGGCCCCAAGCTTCGCTGGCTACTGAGCTGGAACCTGCCTGGTTTTGTAAAAACAAGGTGAATTCTGCGCAGCGGCTTCATTCGGTGCTGTTTCGCTTGCCCCTGTTAAAGTTCTAGATCCTCCTCTGAAAATTCAGAGACTGGGTTGTTTTTTGTTATTATTGTTGTTACTGCTATAATAATATTTCCCTTGCCAAGGAACTGTTGGTTCCGTTTTGTTGGACTAGCGAGAAGAACACAGACTAGTCACTAGTTGAAACTGAAAATAAAATTCTGAAGGGATCTCAAAGGATGGGAATCAGTGGGGAAAGAACCGTTGAAACCCACGGCTGGATGCAGCTTTGATTTGAAGTTGAAGAGCAGGAGTCGGGTCTGGGCGGGGATCGGTGAATATGGTCATTTTATACAATTACTGAAAGTAAAGCTCATCGGAGCGTTTCCATCTGTAGCAGGATTCGCTTTGAGCCCAACATAGAAACTGGTGAAGCCCACAACAGGGAAGCCCAGAACCAAGCAAAAACTTTGAGACCAGTGTAAAGCAGTAGAAAGGAATCAAATAAAGACTGGTGGTTCTTAATGCTGATATCCATATTGTGTTCCCACTGTTATATCCGTATTTTGTTCCCCCTGTTAACCTGAACCGTTATAATTTGTGCTCGAGTTTCCATCTCGATGTTATACGAATCCTGAGTGTCAAGGAAAATGCCACATTGTCTGTTCTTTTCTTTCTCGCCTAGGAATTTAGAAGCTCCCGAGATACCAGTGTATTCTGTGAAAGGTCATAAGGAAATCATAAACAGTATAGATGGTGTAGGTGGCTTAGGAATTGGGGAAGGTGCACCAGAAATTGTGACTGGCAGTCGAGATGGTGAGTTAGTGAACTCTGAAATCAGTCTTTTCAGTCCTGCTGAGAAAGTAGCCCCCAGGCTGTGATGGCAGGGCGCCGTCTGCCATCTGAACTAGTTACAAACCCCTTGCAACTAGTTCTTCACGCGCTGTCTTTTGAACCTTGCTCGGGACAAATTCTCTCTTAATTCTTTTTAGAAGCTGTAGATAAGCAAAAAGATCCTGTTGTCACTGAGCCTGAATACAAAGCAGAATAAATGCAAAATTTCAGCTAGGGAAAACATCCTTAACAAATACTTTTGCTTTTTTTTTTTCTGGTTTTGTTTGTTTGGGTTTGGTTTTTTTTTTTTCTATGTGCAGTCTGGCTGTCTGGAATTGAAAGAGGTGCTCCTTGTTTTGAGTGGTCAGGCTGAAAAGCAGAGGCCTTCCCTGGGAAGATGAACACAACGTGGTGGTGTGTCCATAAGACAAACCCCATTGTCCTTCTTTCCCAGGGACCGTCAAGGTGTGGGACCCGAGGCAGAAGGACACGCCTGTCGCTAACATGGAACCTGTTCAGGGGGAGAGCAAAAGAGACTGCTGGACAGTAGCATTCGGTAATTTATCAGATTATAACCGTTGCTTTGAGGGCTATCAGAGGATTTTGGGATGTCAGGGAATAGTGGACCAATCAGTAGCGGGTTTTGCTTTTCAACGCTGTCAAATTTATGTGTTTTTAATGTATTTTTCTAAAGAAGCCAGTTTTGTGGTGGCTGGGTTTCGGACTCATTCTCTGATTGCCTTTGGTCAATGGTTTCCCAGATAAGCTTTATCTGAGCAAGCTTTATTTCCGTGCCTAGGAACTCTGGAATTGAAAGAGGTGCTCCTTGTTTTGAGTGGTCAGGCTGAAAAGCAGAGGCCTTCCCTGGGAAGATGAACACAACGTGGTGGTGTGTCCATAAGACAAACCCCATTGTCCTTCTTTCCCAGGGACCGTCAAGGTGTGGGACCCGAGGCAGAAGGACACGCCTGTCGCTAACATGGAACCTGTTCAGGGGGAGAGCAAAAGAGACTGCTGGACAGTAGCATTCGGTAATTTATCAGATTATAACCGTTGCTTTGAGGGCTATCAGAGGATTTTGGGATGTCAGGGAATAGTGGACCAATCAGTAGCGGGTTTTGCTTTTCAACGCTGTCAAATTTATGTGTTTTTAATGTATTTTTCTAAAGAAGCCAGTTTTGTGGTGGCTGGGTTTCGGACTCATTCTCTGATTGCCTTTGGTCAATGGTTTCCCAGATAAGCTTTATCTGAGCAAGCTTTATTTCCGTGCCTAGGAACGTAAGAACAGTATATCCATGTATGTCCTGAGGGAATGTAAATATTGTGGCGCACAAGGAAAACCAGCCGCAACTATCTAGCATTTAAAGCGTTAATTTAAGAGCAGATCCTTGAAGCTAAGAGCTAATCAAAGATACACAGATGCTTGATGTGTGCTCTGCATTTCTCCTTTGGAGAGAACAAGCTGATTGTGTTCTGCTCAAGCTGGTGTTTCTGGATTAACTCCATTTTTGCCTCCAGAGGCTGGTTAAGGAACTGCTTTCTGCCGCGGTGCCCCCTGGGGAGCATGATTTATAGCAGAGGAAGATTGAAGAGAGGGAATGTGTTTGTGTAGGTTTCCAAGAACAGCGGGCAGTACTCAGTCTGTGCAGTTTAGGCTGCACTTGGCAGGGAGAACAAGAATTTTGTTCACATTTTTAAAAGAAAGAGGCTGCCAGTTCTGAAGCTGTATTTTCTATACCTTTCAAGTTTGAAGACTGTTCATTAAATCTTAATATCTCAAACTAATATACTTCCGGCATAAATTTAAGTTGAAATTGCAGGTTTAGGAGGTCTGAAACTTACGGCCTAAGGAAGGTTTCTGTGTTCTGATTAATTCTTTCTCCAGGCAACGCTTACAATCAAGAGGAACGTGTTGTATGTGCTGGATACGACAATGGGGACATTAAATTATTTGACTTAAAAACCATGTCACTACGATGGGAGACCAACATTAAGAATGGGGTAAGGAAACTATAAAAGTATTGTTCATTCCAGCTTCTATGCAGGATGGAAAAATTAAAAGGACTCCTGTCCACCTGAAGTCTTCCCAGAAGACATTTCTGCTGAGATTGTACCAAGGAAATGTTGTCTTCAGGTTCACCAAATTGTACCCCTCAGGTTCTTGGTCTGGATAGTGTGGGATATTCTTCAGTGGATTCATGTTTTCAGATGATTTTGTTATTTCCAAATTGGTGATGATGCCGTCATAAAAATAACCAATGATTAATATGTATTTACAAATCACAAACCCCTCATTTTTTTTTTTAGCAGTGGCTGAATTTTAAGACTGAATATATTTTTTAATTTATTTTTTTTCCTATATATTTCCAGGTTTGCAGTGTGGAGTTTGACAGAAAGGATGTAAATATGAACAAGCTAGTGGCCACGTCGCTTGAGGGAAAATTTCATGTTTTCGATATGAGAACTCAGCATCCAACCAAAGGTTTTGCTTCTGTTTCAGAGAAGGTACGGGGAGACGGAGGGTTTCTTAGTAAGAGACAAACTGAATACAGGCTGTCAGAGCAGTACGGGTCTGAAAGGATTGTCTGTGACAGGATGCCCAGGTTACTGGGGTGCAAGCTGTGCAGTAGCGTGGCTGGTGGAGCCCAGGTGCCAGCAGTGAAAGGTCCCCAGGTTTCATCCCTTTTACAACCAGATATTTTGGCTTTTCTGGCCTTTGGGTCCTGCTGCGGTTGCAGCTCTGGGCGTTCAGCCCTGCCCTTTCTCTGGGGGTCACCTTCATTGGAGCCATATTAAATTGTGATGAGTGTGCAGAGACAAATCTTAAATATCTCCCAAAACAGAGTGAGCCCTCTGCAAATGCTTCTCATTCTGCAGCCACCAGATCTCACGTGAGTCCTGGAAATCATTGTTTTTCTTCAGAACCAAGCATTTTTGGATTGGGTTACTGGAAGTGAGTGAAAGGATAGATAGGAGAGGCTTAGTGGCCTGGAGGCTGTTAAATATGGAGAACTCATAACTTTTTTTTCTTCCATCTGTGACCACTGTGTTGATTAGTTTAAGTTCTTTATAAAGCAGTATTTTTCTATTTTCTTGTTTAGTGAACAAAATCTGATGGTAATTAGAGGAAAGGAACTTTTGTGGCGAAGTTCTCTAGGACTGCCTAAATTAGAAAAAACTGAGTTTCAGTGTAATACTGTTAAATTACTGTTTTCCCTACCACTATTCAAAGCAGATAAGATGTTAGTAGTACTTTGATTAGATAATAAGGCAAAAGTGTGTACTGAGCTACTGTTTGCAATAATCAGAATGTGAAAACAGA